GGATATTAAACAGCACGTTACAAACTGCTACAAGCAGATTAAACTCAGACACTTTTGAGGAAGTTTCCTAGAACGCGGCACTGGCAGTAAAGAGATGGAAAAAAGAGAGGAAAGATGAAATAAGATGGTGGGTTTCCAACAGAAGTTTCAGAAGGACAGAATCGAAGAGATAACAGATAAGAATTTCTAAATGAGAACTGAGTCCTAAACAGTATAAAATAAAGATGAAAGGACTCAGACATAATGTAGTAAAACTGTAGAACACTAAAGACAAAAATAAGGTCTCAAAAGCAGCCAGAATGAAAAGACATATTAATGCAAAGCGCGCCGAGGCTGCAGAGAGGAGAGACTGGAGGTCCCCAGCTGACGGCGGAGAGGACAGCTTGCCCGGTAGTGCCGTGGTTCTCCTCCCCTCTGAGGAGGAGGGTGGCAGTGGAGACAGAGAGAAGGTAACCTTCTGGACAAGTCCTTCGTCTGTGAAGGTCGCCGGCATCCACACAGTCGCTCCAGTCAGAAGCAGTCACTTTCCTCATTGTTACCTCCACAGCACTCAGTTCTTCCCACCGCGACAGCGCACGTCACCCCAGAGGTGCTGCAGTGTATTTTGCTACTAATACAAACCCCTTGAGGGCACGAACCGGGTCTAATTTCTCTTTGCTCCCCCTAGGGTCTAGCACAACACATTGTATAGAGCAGGGACTTAAAAAATGTTTAACTGAATTCTCATGAATCACTTATTGACTCTTCTAGGCCTTGTTCCTTGCCCCATGAAGAGATCGCCAAACGTTAATTTGAGAAAAATGACTCAATTAGTCCTTGATTTACTGGATTTAATACTAAAGGTAGGCAAAGTTTTCTGCAACAGAGAAAAAAAGAAGGTGGTCCTTGGGTCCACGGGTAGTGACTGGTGGTATCTGTTGTGTGTAGCGGGGAGTGAGGTCTCACATGTCTTAGATGCAGATTTGAACAGCTTTGGGGAGGGTGACAGAATAATTAGGGGTAGAGAGATTTACTAACATAACCCAAGGCACAATAGGATGGCTTCTCTCTCTCTAATGACCTCAGGGCTTTAAAAATGTTTACCTGAGAGTTGTGTTTCTAGCCCAAGAAGAGACAAGGTCCAAGTCCCATCAAAGATGGACAAGTCCCAGGGCCTGTCCTCCCTGGAGCCCGGAGGCAGAGATTAGCCTCTTTATGTAGAAGGACAACAGGACGACATAGAGCAAAGGATCAGGGCTACCGGGATGTTCTAAGGAAGGAAGCTGATCAGAGAGTGCAGGGAATACAAAAGCAGAGTACCCATTTTCCAGCGCATTCCATTTGAAAGGAAAGACTATTTGGGAGAACTGTCCAACAGCCTCAGCACTTACTCAGAAGAACTTTTTTTGCTGACACAGTGAATCTGGCAATCAGAGATGAATATTAAAATGATTACAAATTATACTGCAGGGGATGCCCTGAAGAGAAGAGTAGTCTTTTCAATAATTAGTTGTACCAAACTCATATTCAACCCAGTTTCTTTCACACGTAGACTCTCATCTCCCTGGTGCTGTTGCCTTCACATTACTTGGCCTGAGACAACATGGGGTCCTTAGGGCCTGGGCTGAATATCCTCATTTCCTAAATGCCACTAGTATACCAACACTTGGATTCAGGCGTTCTAGAGGAAATGACCCTAAAAGGGAACAGAGGAACACAGAGCAGAGCCTGGGAAGAGAAGTCATTGTCAGGCTCATGGGGTCCTCCACGCTTCACTTCACAATTCACAGGTGGGGAGAGGAGGCTGCCTTTGAACAGAGAGCATCACATACAACTGAGGGCTGTCAGGGGCATGTGCACCAGCCTCTTCCCTAATCAACACACTGTTAGCTGCAGCCCTGCTGGCACTAGGAAAGGGAGAGGAGAGGCCACCAACACTTCCTGTAAGCACTCTATTTACCCGGCCAGTGGTGATGCACTTTAACATGACAGCCCTGCCAGAGAGGTACTGTTAGTCCCATTATTTTGAACAAATGAAGAAACTTGAGGCTCAGAGAGGTTAAGAAAGTTGTCTAAGGATTGAGAGGGAACCCCAAGTCTGACTCTAAGATAAAAAAGAGAGAGTCAGGGAGAGGGGTCATTGAGGCATTTGATTACATCATTGAGGCATTTGATTGCCATACTTTTCTAGATCGTGGCGGCTATCTGATTTCCTACACAAATGCTTTTCTTGACAGGGCTTTGGGAGCCAAACCTTAGCTATATTTACAACCCCCAAATTCTCTTCTTACATTGCTTGCTCTGATTATATGCTAGGAGCTACACACAGACACAGAGCTAGATTATTTTCTCCTTTCATATCTGAAGACAACTTAAGTTGTTGGCATTGGGACACCTGCATGGCTAAGACATGAACTTAAAGGATGGACAGCCAGTGCCCTTCTCCCACTGAACAAAAACTCTGCAACCTTTTTTCCAAAGAGCAGAGAGTCAGGCCAGAATTAGTGTTACAGGACACTTGGTTAATCTTTCCTATGATGAATTTGCTGGGAATTAGGGGTACACAATAGCTTTACTACAGCATCCTCCTAAAGATAAATTACATAGAATAATAATAATGCATCGAATGTAATCTGAATGGAGATTTGGTCATGAGGGCACCCAGTAACCTATCTTCTACCCATAACAGAGCAAGAGTTCTAGGGGAAGATAAGAGTTTCTATTCTGGAAGGTAACATACAGTTCTACTGGCATGTGTCTATTTGTTTCCTTCCACTGGATAAAATTAAGTAGCTTAGACATTTAAACAAGGAGGTCAGAATACATTGTCCTCAAGTCCAGGTTAAGACTGCTCTTGTTACTGACGGGGATTTCTAAGAATAGCGACTTGGGATGATTGTCTTCCATCTGTTCTTTCCCCAGATTACACGTGATAATGTTGACTGCTTCCCACAGCTGTGGCAAGTTACCTTGAGTGAGTTCCCTAGGCCTCAGCTTCTGCAAATGCAACAATAATAAAAGAACACACCTTGGGATGTTATGAGGATTAAACTGGATTGGCAAATGTGAGGTCCCCAGTACTCTGACGTACAGCAGGTGCGCTATGGTAGTAGCCATCATCATCATTATTGTCATCGTCATCATCAGGGCACATTTCTTGTGCCTCATTTACCACTATTTTCACTGTCTCACAAACAAAAATACATAGTCAAGGAGGCAGTCTTGATGAAGAAACGAGGTGCTATAAAATTATGCCAGGTGTCACCTTTCCAACAAGGCCACCAATTTTTTTTTTTTTTTTCCAGAGACAGGGTCTCACTATGTTGCCCAGGCTGGATTCAAACTCCTGGGCTCAAGTGATCCTCCCACCTCAGCCTCCTGAGTAGCTGGGACCACAGGTGTGTGCCACCGTGTCTGGCTAAGGCCGTCAATTTAAATCTGTGTAAGTACCCAGAAATCTCCCAACTATAAAATTCACAAGGTAGACAATCACAAGAAACATAAGTATAGTCAGACAGTGATTAGAGAACTGTGCCAAAAGTCAAAGTCACACAGGGAATCAAATGAGCAAGCACATGACTGGGGACCCCGGGGGCTGGGCCTAGAGGGCAGCTGGGGCCTGGAAAGGAAGGGCTGCTGTGGAACATACTCCTAGCACATCACAACTCCCGCACAAGTGCTCCGAGCACACGTGCGGCCACAGAAACTCTAATGGAAGAAATATTTTTGTGCCAGCTATTTTCTAGTTCAGTTGCAAAAAGTGTGATTCCCGTCCTGACAACCCCTTAGCGAGGGAAGCCCAGTGTCAGAAAGCCCATAGGTGCCACTGCTGCACAACACGTGAGGTGACACTCTTTCCCACTGGGTGGCTTACTTGTTACTGTCGCGGTACTCATAGATATGACATCCTTGAGGCAATCCAGTCTCATGGTCCAGAGTAAAAGCAAGCTTTAGCTGAATAAAGAGAGAAGAGAAAGACAAGTTTTAGGCAGCACGCTCTACTCATTCCAACAGCTGAAATGGAAAAAAAAAGAAAAAAAAAAAACTCAAGGAAAGTCACACTCCCTCCAGCCAATGTGTTTGGAAAACCTGAGCCTGCACACTGGGAAGAGCCTACACCGTACAGGGACTCTGTCGTCAGAGGATCGTTCCCAGGACTCTACTTGTTCACTCAGCATGCAAACAATACATTTATTAAATGCCTACTTTGGGCTACCCCTGAGCTAGCTGAGGGGGAAGGAACAGTGACAGCAGCAGAGCGGGGCCTCCTTCATGGGTCTTAGAGTCTAACGGGGACGACAGCAATCAAATAACCACACCAGTGAATATGTATATGTGGGTAAAGCTCCAAATTAGAATAGGTTCACTGAAGCAAGAAAAAAAATCCTTAAGGTTCTATGAAAGTAAATAACTTGACCTAGACAGAACAGGGCTGAGGGAAGGCTTCCCTGAATCAGGAGGAGATGGTTACCTAGAGCGTGGGTGGGAGGGCGAGGGAGCGGAGAGGGTTCTCCTCAGCAGAGAGCACAACACAGACAGAGGTCCTAGGGCGGGAGTTGCAGGAACTGAAGAGTTGCAGGTGAAGCTGGACCTTGACAGATCCAGGGACATGGTAGGTGGTGACACTGGGGAGGAAGGTTGGGCAGAAGATGCAGGGCCTTCCTGGCCACACTGGCTTTAAAAGCTTTCTGGCTTTAAAAGCAAAGGAAAGAAAAGGAAGGGGTGGATGAGGCAATTAGAGTTCTGTTTCGGCAAGATCCCTCTGGCTACAGGGTAGACCACAGCAGACCTTGGGGCAGAGAACAGAAGTAGGAGCCTGCAGGAGGCAGCCATTAAGGAGTCAGGCAGTGGCCACAGGCCTGGAACAGGAGGGAGGGTGGGCAGGCAAGTTGGAGAGACATGGACAATTTGAAATATATTTTAGAAGTTTTTAGAAGCAGAATCAACAGGATATGCTGATGGATTTGATGCTGGCAATGGCAAGGACAGAAAGAAAGAAATCAAGGACAGTTAAAGCTTTTGATTTGAACAACCAGGCAGGTGACTGAATTTGGGGACAGGTAGGGAGTCAAAAGTTTGATACTGGACATGTTAACTCTGAGATATCCATTAACTTTCTTCAATTACAGAAGATCAGGCACAGGAACTCTGGTACAGTCTTGGTTTCTTCCTGGATTCTGGAGGGGAATGTTAAGGTGAGCGCAGAACTCCTACAGAGCTCAGAGAGAGTAGTGTGTCTTGTTAGAGCTGAGTTGGTTATGGCAGCTTTAACATTTCCAAATGCAGAGCCAATTACTATATTTACAAATTCACTGAGTTTTTAAATCACCAGGGAAATTTTAACTAAAATTAACTGCACATTAGGAGGATACATTATTATAAATTTTTTTGAACTGCAAGGCTGTTAACACAGCTAATGATCTGCATCATTAGACGCTGGAAGATTTTTCTCTTCCTTAGTGGGAAAGGACCTCATAGGAATGGTTTGTCCTTTTACTGACCCAGACGAAAATATAAAAACAGAAACAAGCCCTTCTTTACCATCATGAAGCCAGGAACTTCAAGTCAAAGGCCTGTTTTCCCTACAGAGCACTGTTTGGTTTTTTTCGGCCTTTTCTTTCGTTAAACCAAAAATTATTTAAAAAAAAAAAATCTATGAATTACTACCCTTTCCTCTTTACCTCTGAGGTCAGGCCTTTATTCACTTTGTCCAGTTCAAGAGTCTGCATTGCTTAGAAATTTTCATATTCTTTGACTCGGTGATTCCAGTTATGGATTTATAGCTTAGAAAACTATCAGAAATGCAGGGGGAAAAGTTTTATTTGCAGAACGTTGCCCTCAGTATTATTTATTGGAAAGACTCTAAAAGTCCAGCAATAGCAGAAGGTTAAACAAACTTCCCCATGGTCACGCATGGAACAGCAGGCAGCTGTTACGTTGTTTATTAAGAGTTTTTACTAACCCAAGAAAATATGTGGGGTAGATGAGATAAAGCAGGACACATACTTGATTATACAGTATACCATGAAAGCTATTTACAAAAGAACAGAGACTGTACAGAAGGAAGATTAGAAGGAAAGCTTTGGAAACGGCAACAGTGGTTATCACTAGGTGAGAGGCTACGGGTAACTGTTTTACTTTCTCTGCATTTTCCAAATTGTTCACAGTAAGCATATATTACTTTGATACTGCATAAAACACTAATGTGTTAATGTGTTTTCCCCCTTATTTTATGGCTGGTGATTCACACTTCCTTTCAGAATTCTAAGTCCCCTGGGTTTCCTGTGTCTTTTGGTCCCTGTTTTCAATACAGCTGGTCTTTGTGGAGTGTTGTATGCCTGTCTTACCAGCCACTAGACCCAAGAAGTGTAGCAGTCAGCTTCTCAGCCAATATCCAAGTACACTTCCTGCTCCCCTCTGCAAGGGGGCCTTGGGTCAGAGAGGACTGGGCCACCGGGCTGGTATGGGGACGCAAGGGAGCTGAGCTGGCAAGGCAGGCTGCACGGAGTGTGTGGACGTCACTCTGTCAGAAAGAAGAAGCCACAGTGGGTTTCAGGGCAGAAGACAGACCCACTCTGAAGTCAGGCAGAGAATGGGCTGAGGTGGGAGAGCCTGGAGAAGGCCTGGCAGGAGGCTGCCCAGGGGCCCGAGGAGACCATGAGCATCTGGCTTAGGGCAGAGCAGTGGCGAGGGGAGTGCTGGGAGACAGCTAAGAGACGAGACTGATGGGATGCAAAAGTCCACACACACATCTAGCCATGTGACAGTGACATCTGGACTCTGCCTCCCAGCCCCCACTCAACTCTAGATCTCCCATGACCAGGTGAAAAACAAGTGATGAGATAGAAGCCGGAATCCTCAGCCATGAAGGAATTGTGGGGAATTTAATGCCAGGGGGTTCTCAAAGTAAGGAAACTACGTACACACCAATTTGACAAAAAGGCAACTCCGTGGCGGTGGTGATGGGGCAGGGTAGAGAGAGGACAGGGACTGAGGGCATTCATGTTTACTGACTGCCTACCAAGCCAACGCTGTGCTTTATCGTCATAACCACCACCTGAATTAGGTATTACTATTTCCTTTTTATAGATGAGGAACTTGAGGCTGAGAAAGGTTAAGTAATTTGTCCAAACCACATTAGATTAGAACTAGAATTTCACCCAAATTCACACTCTTTCCACCTTACCCATGTCAAAAAGAATAATCGAGATTCTCTGCCTTGGGCTGCAGGGTAGGTGGTACTGCTATTCACCCTGACAAGGAGGAACAGCAGGTTTGGGAGAAGAGTTTGAGTTCGGTTTGGGATTGCTGACTTTAGGGTATGTGGAGGCATCTAGCAGAGATGATCAGTAGGCTGCTGTACGTACATCTCTAGCATTTATAAGCAAGACTGTCATCTGGAGGCACAAATTTGGGAGACTTCAGATGGTAAGTAAGATGGAACTGAAACTACTAGAGTAGCTGAGATTGTCCAGAGAGACTGAGTGAATAAAAAGAGAGTGGTGGATTGAATCCTTTGAAACACCGAGATTTCAGAGCTGGGTAATGGAAATGAGAAGGAGTGGCCATGGAGTATTGAGTTGCTACCTCACAGGAGCCAAGGAGAGAGCTTGTCTTGGGGAGGGAGCAGTTAGCAGCATTAAATCCTTCCAAGAGGTCAAGTAAGAGAGAGTAAGTATCTCAAACAAGGAATCCATTGGATTTAGCAGAAAAGACTCTTGGGGGCAGTGGTAGGAGCAGAGATCAGGGTGCGACGGGTTGAAAAATGAGTAGAAAGCCAGGAAATGGGGATCAGGAGTATATACAACTCTTTTAGCAAATCAGACAGTAGTGGGGAAGAAGTGAGATTAATGAAACAGGATGGGAAAGGTAACAGGATGTGGGATTGAAGGGAGTATATCTGCAATGACAGAGACTTGTTTAAATGCTGACAGGAGGAAGGCACTATGCAGGGAGGTGTGGAAGACAAAATAAGAGAGAGAGAGAACTGAGGAGTCAGGTCTCTGAGATGATCAGGAATGGAAATCCAGTGTACAAGTTACAGAGGAGTTTAAATATTTGGCCCAAATGAACACATAAGTGGCAGAACTGAAGTGTGGTCCATGTCACTAAGCACTGGACTGGCCCGGCCTCTTAGGTGTCTGTGGGTGTCACCTAGGTGTCAAGGAGAGGAGTTGTGGGAGTCACTGGGTCAGGGAGTCACTGGGTCAGACACTTAGGTGTCTCATAGGTGTCTAGGAGAAGAGTTGTGGGAGTCACTGGGTCAGGGAATTGCAGGGACTGGAGGTTGTAGTCAGAGAGCAGGCTGTGTGTTTGGCCTTGGAGATGGCCAACCTCAAAATCCAAGGAATGGAGAGTTGAAGGTGGGGGTGGGGGTAGCCTCCATGAGAGGTTTGAAATTCACCCAGGATGATGATATGCTGTTTCTCAGATAAAGCAATCCACAAAGTACGTCCCCATAGGTGTGCAGGAGTGCGTGTGGGTGCCTACCATGTACAAAGTTCAACACATGAAAGAATGAGTCCAGGTGGCCCCCGTAGCAGAGATGGATGCATACCTTGCAGGCACTTCCTCCTTCCTAATGATACTCTAGTTTTCTTCAGCTATTCACACACCCACCCACTCCCCAGTCCAGGGGCTCCAGCAGGAAGCAGACCCAATCTCCAGCTCAGGGCTGGACCTGACAGTTCCGAGGTCATCCCATATGCCTTTCAGTGACTGATCAGAAACCCAAGTGCATGGCATTTCTTAGCCCCAGGAAATGGTTCGAGAATGGACGTGTGACCCAACCAAGGCCAGTGAGGTATGTGAGGATGCTTGCTGAGAGCTCTGGGCAAGGGCCAGAACTGCTGCAACCAGCTAGTCACCAGCCTGCGAACAAAGTCCACTCACAGAGGAAGCAGAGTCAATAGACTGTTGGAAGAGTAGTGCCAGAGCCTTGACGGGGCAGGCAG